CGATCCTTTGGTTTTATGAATATCTTTCTATGTGGGGAAAACTTTAGTGTTTGAAATGGGATGACAGCATCTAAGCATGTGTTGGAGTTACAGTAAAAGATGTCTAGAGCTTTCGAGAGGATATCACTATAGAAGTACTCACTCCATTCTGAGGATCTTAGCATTGATTTCACTAGAGTCCAGTCTGCCTTACTGTAGTTCCTGTAAGTTATTTGTTGTGAAGTAGGGGTATGGGTTGCATTGCTACTTGACGGAAGTGGCAGTGCACACAGCACTGTTTTGTGTATTAAGTATTAAGGTCTCAGTTTGCTGCCTCCTTATGGTTCGATGTTTGGTTTCGCAGCATTGGATTTGTCATCCCATTAACCCCTCGGTCTCGTATCACCATTGAAATACTAGGGCCAACTGTTCCTGGGAGTTTAATTTGACATTTAGCAGCCTTGGAGAACTAATCAGTGTGAGGTTAGCGGGGCGGGGTAGTGGGAAAATAGAGATTCCTCCAGGAGCACCTAGGGCCATCTAGGATGACAGCCATTCGACTGATGTACGTCTCGCGTGTGTTTTTTACAAGCAGTGCCCGTTTCCATCTCCGGAACACCGTGTATGAGCATAGATGTAGATGTTGATGTACTCTTGTTGATAGCTAGTACCCGAGACACTAACAGTATCCTTTCAGCCTCTTCGGCAGAGCCCAGTGTAACCCTCAATGGGGGTGGCTTACCCGGAGAAGTTTAGACACCTCTGCACAGGCTGCACAATTTCGCTGCAGTGATGTTCAGACCTAATTTATTGTACAAATTGGACCACTGTTCCTGTTCAAACAGGGCCTGATGTTTAAGCAGGCTATTATTGCACACGGGTACATTAAACAGGTTAAGGTTTGGCTTTTGGTTGCTTGTCCTCCTTTGCAGGGTCAGCAACTTTGGACTTCATCAGGTTCTGAATAGCCTTTGCTAAGTTGCCAAGCTTGCTAGTGTATGCAAGTGATGCTTTGACAATTCCATCTTCCCCTGATGTTTTAGGTGTAACATTGGGAGTCTTCACTTTATGAAGATTGGTATTTCCAGTTAGTTGGGCCGGAGTATCCTTCTTACTAATTTTACCAAGTTTTGGTAGTGTGGTGTTAGTAGATGGGGAGCTGCATGATACTGTGTCGGGACGCAAGAGTGGCGTGCTGTTCTGCTATCCACAGACTCGCTTTGTGGGACTGTGCCAAGGCGACAAAGTGTGCAGATGCACCAGAACCATGGGTAAAGGTTATTTCGCATAAACTCATAATATGGTTTCGGCACCGTTCTGCCACAATGGTAGTGTACCCATCGTTTGCAAAAATTGCAGTCAAGTGCCGAATCAGTTTAAGAAACGATAACACAACAGGCCTGACATTCGTTTCCTTTTCTAGATGACTTTTTCGAGGTCTTATGACGTCTTGAGAGTTTCTTTTTTGTTTTGTCGCGTGTCACGCACTTGCTTTCGGTGGATACAGGTGTAGCGTCATGTCCACCTGGTATTGCCTGGACTGTTTCAGTGCTAGACTGTGGCAATGTAGGCGTAGTGTCAGAAACAGGCCAAATGTACGCGAGTCTTTAGAATCGGTATGGGAGATGAAGTTGATGTCTCTGGGTTATTTTCTCCTCTGGCTGAAGCCATTGTGACTAGTGTTTTAGTGATTTTTCTAAGGCTACTTTCAACAGTCATATAAACAATTACTATAACTTATGCTATTTAAGAATAAAAGAGCAACAGTATCTACCCAAAAGAACAAGAATATGACTGATAAATTATAAGATATGGAGAAGAATAGGTTTTCGACTTAACCTAGTACTTTTTGGTTCACAGCAATCACGTGGTAGACCAACAAGTCTTGTTTATCTGAACGGGTGAGGAAGATACTACTAGAGAAGTAGCGCCTGAAGCTTTTGCAGTGGTTCGAGACCGCTGGACTTACCACCCAGAGATTTGTTGTGTAAGTGATGGTTGAGTTTAGTTCACCGTCTAGGAAGATCAGGTTTCACAGCCTGGTGATTCACTAGACAGGTATTTTCAGTTGAAGAGAAAGAAGCACATCATACTCAAGAAGAGTGCTGAAGTCATGTCTTATCATTTTAGCAACGTTAAACATAAATTATCTTTGAAGTCCACATATTCTACAGTATTCCTATTGGTTCAGCGTATTCCTCACTCATCGCTCTTTGCAGTCTGTTGCATTGTCCAGTTCGCCACAGTCAAGAGTATTAGGAAGCAATATCTTACCGTTGCCTTCAATTCAAAAGCTTCTCTGAGTTTTCCACTGTGAGCCGTATCGTCATTTGTTTCTGAATGATGTTTGTACATGTCTGCTGCACTGCACTCTGTACTATCTTGTCATATTCGACAGTGCTAAACGCCTTCTCAGAGTCAATGAAGTTTAGATGCAGAGACGGGTGGTACTTTGTGTTCTGCTGTCAGCCTAGAGTTTCTTTTGTTTCACCTGTTTGGCAGCTACCCTTCCTTCAATACAGTTTCGTGGTTCTCCCTGAATCTCCGTCTTACTGAACCATTTTTGGTGTGTTAATCTGGTGAAATATCTACCGATCTGTGCGTATACTTGTGATTGTATACGCTGCAGTTGCATGAATATGTAAGGGATTATTCGTTCTCATTCACTTCAACAAGCAGCCATTGACAGGCTATGCTGTGTCTTGCAACTTTTCCCAACCCAAGTTTACCGTTCAAATCACCTATTACAATTTCAGTGTCACAATCTCGCTGGCGTCTCCTCATTAAGCACATACAGTTATCTACAGAAGTTCCTTTTTCCCCTCCACCAGATTTCAATATTATTAGTAGCATAGCTTAGTACAGCTGTAACTTTCAATCCTTTCAAGCGTTGAATCTACCTTTCATAATCCTGGAGGGACTTAATTCATGGTATGGGTGGCCAAGGTAGATTAACCACTTTCAATAAGTTCATTGTTCTGTCCCTCGAAGTTTTAGCAAAGTTCGTGCTATCGATTTACTGGATGGTGTCTTCATCTCCACCTGCTCTCAACTAGGCTTCGAAATGGCTAGTAAACTGGGCGAGGTTACGATTGCTGTGTAAGTGGAGAAAACATATCTGAATAATCTGTACAACGCATTGGCCAAATGAGTCAGTGGATGTGTAGTTATAACAAGCGACAGAATAACATGGTGCTCCGCAAAATGATATGCAGACATCCTAGCTAAATACCATGCAGTGTTCGTGGAGCTCATGTAAGAATAATGCACAAGACGCGGTTTAAATACTGCATAAGATTAAAGAATGAATTGATATAATATGGAGTTTTTTGGCAGTGCCCAAAAGTTGTGACCAGGAGCAGTAGTTAGTACCATAAATTTGCTTGCTACTACATTTCTATTTAACGATTTCACAATCAATACTGATTATTTATCTTAGTGGCTTCTTGGTCTGCATATACGCATCCAAACGAAACGAGACCATAAAATGGATTGCTAACAGAAAAATATTTAGTATGATTGAAACACTTTCCACTATAAATTTTATTCTAGTGGTCGCTAAGTGACAAAACATTTATTATGTCTTATAAGCATTATGTGACTACTAACTGTGAGTAAAAATTTGTTTTAACGTATAAACGTTGGAGTCCAAATGAAATTATTCCACTGTAATTAAGGGAAAGCCAATTGTAAAGAAATCATATCTCTAAATTCATACACTGACGGAAGACTAAATGGAGCGTTAGACACACAACTGCTCACTAAGGTGACGTGCGTTGCACACGTTTTGAACTAAAATGGTAGTAATCCATCATCTTATGCAAGCATTGCACACAATTGTTTTCTGTTGAGAGGTCCCCTACCTGAAGTGAGGCGACTATAAATGCTGTTAATGTAGACTACCAATAGAAGTTGTCCTGCGACATTACCCTGTACAGTTCAATTGTGATTTGCCTAGGGGAAACGAACGCAGATTCAACTTAAGTTATTTAAACGCTATTACTGATAAATACCATCAAACAGCTGAGTAACGGATTACGAATTCCACAGCTGTAAAGATTTTCAAAGTGAATACTCTGATATACCATGTTAAATAGCCAGACTTATTTCGACATATAAGGACCTATCTGAAAGCTGTAGTCAAAACTCTGTGCATCGAGAAGTCATGTACAGTGTCACACATAAATTAACAATGAATACTGTCACAGTTGGTAAGTCAACAATGCATTCTATAAAAGGGGTTGTGGCATTTACCGATAGAAGTTGAAATTCCGACACAATATTGCAGCCTCAATTTTTCTGATTCTAAGATCAAACATGAGTCGAAATAGAAAGATGTAAGAATGATATAACAAGCGAGACAACATTTGGGGGCCTTGAGCTTTAGCAGAACAGATACCTCCAGACTCATAGACTGAACATTAAAAGGGAGATAAATAGAGAAATGCAAGTCATCTGATTCGTGATTTAGCGCGACCATCAACCAATGTCATCGGTGGGAAATCCATTCTCATACTTGACTGGTTAGACCTCACTGGTCACGACTTCTCACTAGATGATTCCCATACTAGGAAGAGACAGCTGTCCAGTACTCCCTGGTTTTTAATGGTTCTCTGTTTCATATCAATTCGTGGTTAAACTCGTAGAAACAAATCCACTGCTTACAAATCAACTCTTGAAAATCATCCAAGTCAACACATACAACAGTATGTAGTGGACTTAAGTTTTGTATTCATTACATTTCAGGGAGGCTAGATTTTTTATGAGCTGCTTTGCAGAAATGTCAGACTTTGGCAAGTGATCAACACAGATCCTCCCAAAAATAGAAACCTTTTATTTGAACTTACTGTAAAGCCAACCATATTAAGTAACTTTAGAGAAACAATGATCTAAGGATGAGAAAAACTTTATTTTTTACTTCTATATGTGTAAGGAAACCCTCAGTTACTCGTCGCAAAAATTTTTTAACTTTGTTTAGACGCATCAGTAACTCTGTTTGCAGTTCTATTCTCAGTTTTGAGATGGATTGTTGCAACGCCCTTAAAAGACCTTACTTAGATGCGTAAGAGTCCCTTATTAAGCATAACTTTTTCAGAAAATATTCATGCTGGGGAATAACTCAGTGTCAGTATGATGGGAAAAAATGCCTGATAATTCGAGAAACTCCGACGGAGGAGCTTTTGAAAGACTTAGCTGCTATTGAGGATGCTGACATTTTAATAGTACAAAAGTCCAAAATACAGCAATTGGAACAGCTGTTAATAAAATTTAAATGCATGAAAATGTTGGTTATCAATGAAATGTCTCTTAATGCATTGCCTCATTGCATTTGTTCTTTTAACCACCTTTCACTGCTAGATGTCTCTAACAATCATTTATCCAGTTTGCCAGACGAAATTATTCAGTTGACATCACTGACAGTGTTAGACATTTCAAAAAATCTACTCAGCAACATAGATGCTATATGTGGTTTATCGCGTCTTCAATCTCTTGATGTAACTGAGAACAAGTTAGAAGAGCTCCCTCGGTCTCTATGGAAACTCGAAGGTCTACAGACTTTTTCCTGCTCACTCAATCAACTTGTTTGTCTGCCAGAGGAAATCGGATGCCTGAAATACCTCATCATACTTCGACTTAATAACAATAAGCTTTCATCTATCCCCCGGTCATTTTCAAATTTGACTGGCCTATTGCTTCTACAACTTGATGGGAACTGTTTCGACCATATTCCTTCTCAGCTTTTTAGTTGCACTTCATTGTTGGAGTTAAGCCTGGCTCACAACAAAATTGAAGGCAATATTCCTTCTAGAATAAGCTCCCTGGTTGCTTTGCGTACTTTGAATTTAGCATGTAATAAAATATTAGACTTCCCAGTCGAACTGGAGCAACTACAATCTTTGGAGTACCTAAACGTCAGTGACAATCCAGTTAAAAAGTTCTCACTCCCTTTAGGAAAACTTAATCGAATTCAAGAATTCTCTGCTTCCGGATGTGGATTAGCGTTTGTTCCAGATGATCTTGGTTTGTGCTCCAATCTTATTATTCTTGATTTAAGTGAAAACAAGATAGAAAGACTGGCTAATGAGAGCCTTAGTTTCCCACAGCTTACCTCTCTGTGTTTAGCATATAACATTATTTCCAGCCTGCCGGTTTCCATCTGTGATCTGAAGAATTTAGTCGTTTTGGAGCTACAATTTAATAGATTGAATTCACTCCCAGATGAGTTTGGGGAGCTTTCATGCACTCTTCGTCAGCTAGACCTGGGACACAATGTATTTGAAGTGATTCCCATGTCTGTGTTCCACATCAAAAGTCGTTTATCTTACCTATGTCTCGATTCCAATCCAATCTTGGAAGTTCCGGATGAGATAGGTAATTTGAAAGAACTAACTCATTTGTCTGTGTCCGACTGCAGTCGACTGGTGAGTTTACCCGAGGGTATAGGACTATGTTCAAATCTTCGTATGCTTAAAGTTTCTAAGAACAAGTTGTCATTGCTTCCAAAGTCTTTGGCTAAGTTGCAGTCTCTAAAATATTTGGATCTCTCAAACAATGATTTTGAATATTTTCCCCTGGTTGTCTGCTTCATACCAAGGCTTCGTGTGCTTCTTTATGATCAGAAAGAAGGAAGACCTTTATTACCTGCTAAGATTCCCGACGGCTGGTATCATAAAAGCTTGGCTTTATATCCTGAGGCAAATAACTACGAGCTAGAATATATTGGAAAGTCGTACAAAACTATAGACACCTCAGTAGAAGACATTTTGTCAAAAACACGTACAAGTGAAGGTTTACCCTATCTGATTGGAAATCTTGTACACCTGGTTCACTTATCTCTTCAGCATAATGGACTGTTTGCATTACCCGATGTATTTCACAACATGAAGTTACAACGATTAAACCTGAGCTTTAATCGTTTACGTTTCCTTCCTCCCAACTTCCATAAGTCTAAGCATCTAACTCACTTATACCTGCACAACAACAATATTGATCAACTTGACCAAAACTTTCAGAATCTGAAAACTTTGCGCATTTTGACCCTCCGAAGTAATCCTCTTTTGTGTCCTCCTATGGATGTTGGATCTGATAAAGCTGTTTTCCCAGTGTTTTTCTACTTAAAGCAGCAAAATTTATATGAAGGTAAGCTTTACAACTAGATGTCTAGATTTGGGTATATTGTTTTCTTATTTTTCCAAAGTTTCTTCTTTCTGACTTTTAGCACTTGTTAAAGCTTATTCAGATTCCTTCATCTAGACGGATTTTCTTTTCGTCAGTCATGTGCTTTCGAAAGGGTACAAAAGACATTAATAAGAATAGTTTTTCCGTAAATTTCTTATACAAAACATGGTTTGACCACGCAAGACGGCTACATACACCTATTTACATTGATTTTTACTTAATGTACTAAATTACCGCAACTACGCTTTCAGTTAAAGCCTAAAACCATAGTAATCTAGATGTTTAGAGAATTTTTATGCTGCTTTTCTATTATTCATCATCTGTTTTGCAAAATACACTCTGAATCCCTAAGTAGAATGTGGCAGGGGAATCCAGTCACTTCAGTTAACAGCCATCATTCCAAAATTCTTGAGGCAAATGTCGCAATTATGTCAGCATATTTAGCAGTAATACTGGTAATTTCATCAAGTAAGTTTATTTTAAACATCAAAAGTCTTGCTCAACAATTCACTGTAACACTTAAGCATCACTGCAAATCGGATACAAAACTCTCTTTGTGCTCGTATCAGGAAATACAAACCTTTTAAAGCCAAAGCTTATTGTGACTTCACCTTAAGATATTTAAGAAGACGAAATGGTCTTCATTTTAACGTTCATGGTTGATATGATTATGAACGATAAATTACGTTTGAAATGTCATCTAGTAAATGTGACATTACATACTCCCTCTGTGGCAACGCTGCACACATATTAGGAAATAAGGATCATTTGTTTGCAAGGAATCACTAAAGAGATACTTCTAATTGCGATTTTTAACGAATGTACATCTTATGAAATTCATCTTTTGTTAAACCCTATTCTTTATTCAAATTATATTGAGGAATTTCAAGTTTTAATAGATCTAACACTATAAGCATCTAGAGAAGATTAAACGCCTTCGAACATTGGTCAATCAAATTTAAAAATTTGCATGGGACTTTTAAATTTCCTTACTGAATTAAAAAAACTTTGTTTTTGCACTGTGTCATTTTTGTTTATAAAGTCAGATACTTTCAATGCAATGACATTTGAGTACAGTTTCGTATAGTTTTGCATCTTAGGAAACATTCCTTTTGACGATACGAAGATGTGCTATATATATAAATGTCATTGTACAGCTTGAAAATGATACCACTGCAGCGAGTGACTCTTCACTGAATGTACTTATTGTTTTTTGAATAATAGTCAGGTATTTTATTGTTCTTAAGATTGGTGTTGCTTACCGGTGTTAGGTGGGTCTTCAGCTTACCAAGCGTATCAGTCAGTTTGTTGAAAAACTTTCAGGTCTCTTTGGCTCTTTGATATTTTGGATAGTATGAAGTGTAATTCACGGCTTTTTTTAAATATGTTGTCAGGAAATTTCTATGTTAGCATTTTCGTAGTGTTACAACTATTGCTTCATAAGTTGAGTGATACGAATCACAATAAACAGCGATCTATTACGTATTTTCATTGTTTTCGGGGTGCATGTGTATACAATTTCAATTCAGTTCCTAATTTCAAACTGTTGATGTATTTTTAAATGCTTGAGAATTCGGCACACTAGCTTGCTGAGAGAAAAAGTATTTCTTAAGTCTCTGAGGACTACGAAAATAACAGTGTTTTCGGACAGTGCTATGATGCATTTGTTCACATTTCAAAATGGTCTGCATATAGTCCTGTTTTTTATTTTAAAAAAACTTCTGAGTCGCTTTCCGATTACTAAGTGATATCTTACGAGTGAAGTGCACCGTTAGCCTTTAGGTTTCAGTGTTCCCCCCCTTTATAATCTGCTGGATCATTGAAAATATTTGCAAGAATTATCAAGCATAACTATCCTATTTTTGATTTTTGCTGGATAGAGTTTCTCACTCGTATGCCTTTTCAACTAACCACACAGTGGCTTTTGGTGCATTAAAATACTGCACTGAAATTCCCTAAATTGATTTCACTAATATGCAAGTGTCATTTGAATGCTGATGAGCTTTTTTAAATGGCTGGAGGTATTCTTTTGACAAAATTAATTCTGTCCAATATATAGCCCCAGTTGCTAGATGTATGAAAGAATTTTTAATCAATTCCGGTAATCTCATCCAGTTGAATCTCAATTTAGTGACATATTGGTTTCATTGAAACTGATGCTAAACCTAATCCGGGGTAGCAACAGTTAACAGTTTTCACAGCTGGATGAGATTATTATTATTGTTATTATTGTTTCCTTTAATTCCTAGAGGAACATAGGACTTTAGCCGTGCGTCTCCATTGTGTTCGGTTTTCTGCTATAGTTTTTACCTGGCTCCAAGTCTGCCCACACGCTTTCATCTCCTCTTCACATGATCTCCTCCATGTCACCCTTGCAATGACGACCAACTCGCCGCTTCCCTTTCGGGTTCCACTCGAGTGATGGCTTGTCTAGTGATGTCACTTGATGGCTTGTTTCCTCAGAATATGGCCAGTCCACCTCCATTTCTTCCTGCCTATTTTTGCACACTCGGTTCCTGCTGGGTTGGTTCACTCCCAGAGATCTCTATTGCTGATCTTTTCTGGCTAACCATCTGATCTTGAGTATTGAGCGAAGACAACTGTTAATGAAGGTCTGTAGATTGTTTGAGATGCTCTTTATGACGCGCAGTGCAAGTCTCTGATCCGTATAGTAGCACTGACTTCACATTGGAGTTGAAAATCCGGATCTTATTTTTGATGCTGAGTGTTGTTGACCTCCACAGAGACTTGAGAGTAGTGAAAGCTTGTCTTGCTTTTCTGATTCTTACTTTGATATCCTCGTCAGTTCCGCCTGTAGTTGAAACGATGCTTCCCAGGTAGGTAGGTAAAGGAGGTTGTTTCTTTCAGGTTCCTACCATTCATGCTGATTGTTGTCTGTTGTTGTTGTTGCTGTTGGTGGTGTTGCCCAGGAATCTGAGATAGCGACTCCCTATTCTGTTGTTTGTTTTATTTCTTCAAGTAAAATCAGTCCACTTGAATTTACTGGTATAATAGTCAAAAATGTGAAGTAAACAATGATTTCTCAAGGAAGTATTATTTAATTCCTTATCATATAACTTTTTCCTTAATCTACAGCTTATATTTTGAAGTCTCTGTGTGAAATAGTGATAAACAACTTACCGAAAGAACATACCCATAATTTTCTACGTAAAATTGGATTTTCGGATATATTGATAGAATCCTTGGAAAAACAATTTCCTGGTGGTTATAATCATGTGAAACGTTTAAAAATAGCCATGGCAGCATGGTCAGGATTTCCTTTCGATTCTGAAGGTTTACATTCAAATGAAAGTCTAACAGAATCATATTCTATTCAACAAGCAAATTATAGTAAAAATCTTATTCAACCTGTTAAAGTCACTGAATCCGATAAAGATTTATCCCCTGGATTATTTCAGCATAAAAAATCTCTTTTCCCAAGTAGTAAATTATTCAAAGAAGTGCATTTCGATCCACCTCCAAGTCCATATCGTCTTCTAAATATTGTACAGTTGATTGGTTTAGAAGATTTACATTCAAAGTTGATGGAATACTATTTGAAGACTCAACAGTTGAGATTTTAAACAACTCACTTAAACAACCATTAGTATATGATTAATTGCTATTAGTCACCATTATTCTATTACACCTTCCTTCTTATAAAAATATGTGATTCTTTTTAAAATAAACTAGCTTTCTTTGTAATTTTATTATTGTTATTCATTCTATTAAAAAAAGACCTTGTAATTTTAAAACAGATGCCTGTTGCTCGGTAATATATCCTAATTTTTAATTAATATTTTATAGTATTTGATCCAACTATAAAAAAAAAACTTTGTCATCACCATTGTGATTCAAAATCTTCTTTTAAATAGTTTCTATGCCTACAGTGCGTTAATCTAACAAAAGAATGTGTTTCACTCATGTCTGCTACAGGCAAATAAACTGACAAATATCAGCATGACTTGCGATACCTTTTAATCTGCCTGCCTCATATCAAGAAATTGCTGACAATCAAACAAACAGTCAAAGGTTTGTAAAATGGCTGTGAAACAAAGGCTGAAGAAGAAGGATAACAAGTTAGGGGAAGTGTGACATTAAGAAAGCAGCAAGAGTAAAACGAAATGTGATTACATCACCGAGATTGTGCTAAATTATTAGTTATATCAGACTACTGACGCATCTGTTAGTGGAATTTCATAAGTGTTAACTCTTCTTACTTAAAATGCACTCTACGTATGTTTTTGTTTATTATATGTAAAATTTCAATGTTATACTTCCTTAATTGTAGACGTAGACACTTGTATAAGAAGCTCATTTGATGCTGTTTGCTGTTTAAAACAAAATCAATGCCTGATAAACCTATAAAAACAATTTCAATGTAATATAAGATAAATTTAGGCAATTTAATCTCCGTTTAATAATACGATGAACAGGAAATTTTTATTTTTTTTATAAAATAAAATGATTACTTCAATAATTCAGTGTGTAAAAAAATTCATCATCTGATAGTTTAAAATGATTTTATATGTTATGTCTCCACGTGATTTCATCCTTTTACGAGTACAAAACTTTCAATGGACTCGATAGATAACTCAAGAAGGTATTTTATTATACAAATTGTACTTTAAATACTTTATTGTGTAGAAAGTACTCTTTTTTCTCTTGCCTTGGTTGTTTTCACTGAGATGGTTTGTTTAATTCTCTATTTTAATAGATGTTTGAATTTAATTCACACTATCGTTAAGCTCCACATTTTTCTTTGCAAGACGTGTTCTCTTGACTGGATACTAGTCAGTGATTAGTGTGATGTGTCTAGTCCTTTCTTCGGCGCAGAATGAATTCTATCAGTGAAGTTTGCAGTGCTAGGTGGCTCGCCATCACAGTGCGCTTTTGAACTGTTGATATATTAGATGGTTGGAGGCAACCGTTAGGAAGCCTTGAACCTAGGTTTCGTGCTAGTTGGCACTCGTCAGCAAAGTATTTAAAGTACAACTTGTAAATTGACTGAAGCACTAGGAAACGCGGGTTCCAATCTCAGAAGAGACATGAGTTCTTTCAAGGTTGTAGATACGTCTTGCTGACTGGGGGGTGCCAACTAGCGTGAAACGTATGACGAAAGCTTCCTATCGATTGCCTCCAACTATTCAATACCAAGAAGTGTTCTTCTTTAGATTGTGAATCACCTTATTTATTATCCCACTTAGGCTGACATTGCAGAGGACTGAACTTTGATTTTATTGACTGCTTACTGACATTTGCATAATCCATAGTTAATTATTTATTGACTATTTATTCTAATATAAAGGGCAATTAGAGACACTTACTTTTGTCATCTTTCGGACTGTCTTTGATCATAGGTGTCTGCGTTCTATCTTCCGTGTTAATCAGTATGATAAGGTGAGCAATATTGAGGTTAGGCGACGAGTGCTAGGTAAGGACAGGAAATCAGTCAACGAGACTGTGAAATTACATCGACTGAGATGGTTGGGACATGTGTTACGTATGCCTAGTCATCGCCTTCCTCGACAGTGGGCAATGTTAGCTGATATAGAGTCAGACTGGAAAAGAGCTAGTGGCGGTCAAACGAAAACATGGCACCAGTCAATGGAATCTACAACAGTTAGTCTAAGCCACGTAGGAAGGTGTAGACTTCCTGACTGGTTGGGATCCTCGGGACGGTAAAACCAATGGTTGGAAAAAATTGGTGACATGGCTCAAAATCGTTCTCAATGTCTGGTGCAGATGTATCCACTCCTTGTGACTTATGATTTCCAATGAAACTGTTTTGTTCTTCGCTATTACTATTCCTTTGTCTCACCTCTGTTTACTGTCTATATTATGCATTTCTTCTACTTTCTTCTCTTGCTTTGTGTGCTACATGGAGTGTGGTGACTTGAACTGCCGCACATATGTGCAAAGTTCTATTTCGAAAACAGACAGATAGACAGAATCTTTCGAGCTCTGAGTTATATTCGGTTGCATTTGCAGAGCAATCATCAAATGAGAATAATAAGTCAGACTAGTGGGAACACACTTATATGGTTACTGATTTTTTGTATTGATTAAAATTAAATGTCTGCACAGTGTCTCTTGGAACACTGGACGTTGCGAAATATTTCTAAAATGATTCAAACATTCAAGTACCTTCTGTTATATGTCTCATGCATCATTTAGCTTTCCCTTCAAAACACCCTTAACTTATGAAAACTAGTGATATTATCATTGGACTGTTTGATGTGCCCTTATAAACTGAATGACTTCCCAACCAAATGAGAAATCATCCAGTTTAGATTGTGTATGCGGGTTGTTTGTTTACACAAGAATAATTAATGTCTAACTCAGATTATGAGTAATAATAGAAAAGTACTTTGGACAGTTAAGCGTCGGGATGTACCGTGATTGCTGTATCTAGTGCGGATACTAAGCAAAGTTTTTTTTTATCTTCGAAAGAATCCACCTTTCCTATCATTTGCGAATGCGCTTAACCTATGAGCGATTATTAATATAAGACTAAGATTTAGTATTTATCAGTGAGTTCAGAACAAAATAGTTTTGAAGGATTCTGTCAATTAAGGGTATACATTTCACTGATGAAGTCCTCAGTATGTTTGGATCTTATCTCACACAGCCGCAGAGTTTAGAGAATGAAACTGAAACGCTTCAGTACAGAATTCTGGGTCGAAAACTTTGCCAAACCTATCTGAGTTACTTTGCTGTTTGTTCAAAACTTCCCAGTTTTTAATACAACAACGTACCAACAAGTTTTGCCTGCTTACCTAAGTCTGAGGAATAAAATAGGCATTTGCTAGAATGTATCCATAGCAACTATCACTGTTGGAAAATTGGTACTCACTGAAGTCCTAGATGACTTGGTGACCTGTTGTCTAGTTAGGCATACTTTTTTATCTACTCTTATTTTGTAATCTTCTAATGTACCCCATGTGCGTCAGTGGCACAGCGGTTAGGACGCTCGCCGACCATGCACATGGTCCGGGGTTCGATCCTCGGCCGACACACTCCTCCACCTCACTAAGCCAGTATAAAAGCCGGCAAAGAGGAAAGGTTGGGCATGAGGCTGTCAACTCCATCCTGTAAAAATAATCACCACTGCTACATCAACTTCAGGCCTCTAGCTTGAAGCCCCGTGTTCCACTGGGAACGTGAAGGAATAAAAAACAATGGCCTCCACTCTTCAGTAAATGATTATCGCATTCTGTGTAAGCTCTTTTTCCCACCTAATATAAATAAAACTTTCAAGTCACTTGTTTAACCTCGGGATTCTTGCATCACCAACTTCTTAAAATGCATAGGGTCTTAAATTATGTGAGCTAAAAATGCTAGAACTGAATAAACAAAGAAACCTGAAGCTCAACAGTTATAAAGAATTATTATATTCACAGTTTCATCAAATCGATATCTTTACCCATTTTTTCTTGTTTAAATTAATTGTCCTTAACAAACACAGTAGTTTAAATTAATATCAAAATGAGAATACTTTTCTGCCTTGGTCTAACTAATAGAAATGTCTTACTGACAGAGGTTGTATTCATTTATAGTTTTTGACTGATTAACTTATTAGTGTAAAGAGTATAACAGAGGAATTAAGTGAAGCATAGGACAAAAACGTTCGAGTAAAGAATAAAGCGGATCTTCGAAATTTGGAGTAAATACATCTGCAGTATTGTGAATAATTGTAAGCCATTTCAACGTCTACAGAAAGTTGATTATTATAATTTCAAAGTCATCAACCAGACAATCTATACCTTCTTGAGTGGCTGTTGCTAACTAAAGAACATCTGTGGTGTAGGATATAGTTATCAGTCAAACCGTCTATGCATATTAGTACAATAACCAGCCTGGTCAGCCACATCACCTATAATCCCAAAGAATAGCACTAACATGTAATGCTTGTTCACTAGTTTTTTCACACACAGAAGACGACTCTATCTACGTATCTGACTGGGAATAGTTCAGAAAACGAGAGACTATTATCCAACTGTAACTACTTTGCATAAACTATCCAATTCTACAAGAAGTCAGCCAAGCTCTGAATGGCTCAACGTTAAAGTCCCTGACTTCGGTAACAAATGATACAGGTAGAAGAGGAGAAAGGTGATTTTCTTAAGACTGTTGACACACACATTACTGATAAGTGATAACCAGCATGAAAATGAGTCTTAGATGTCTAGCTATCTGGGTTTCAGAATTATTCAAACGTACAAATTCAGAACAAGATAACGGCTTGTGGATTGAGACAAATATTATGAGCAAACGAGAGTCAAATTCACTATGACAAAATATGAAGTGAAAATAGACCGAATTAGCAACCAGTAGGTTGACATAAATTCATATCAAACTTACAAAGTACCAGGCGAACTGGCTAAGTTATCTCTTGCTTCTTTATTTTAAGTAAGAAGATTATTATTACTTATTATTGTTTTCTTTAGTTCCTAGAGGAACATAGGGCTTCAGTCCCACATTTGCGGTTCTCCGCCAACGTTTACACCTGGCTCCAAGCCTGCCCACATGCTTTCATCTCCGCTTCACATGACCTCCTCCAAGTCACCCTTGCACTGACGACCAACTCGCCGTTTCTTATTCGGATTCCACTCGAGGGACTGTCTAGTGATGTCACTTGGTGGTCTTCTC